ACCCAACAAAACTCTCCATCTTACCCACCTCGGAAAAGATGTCGAGCTCAACCGGATGGAGAAGAGTAATGCGCGACTTACATCTTTGAAATATTAAAGGGCAGAGAGCCCAAATTAGCCAAAGATTCATACCACAAGGTAAGGGTTAAAAGACATAAGGGTTTCGAAACGCCTAAGCTAAAAAGCAAAAATCGAAATATCATTCAAAAGACCCAACGGGCCGAGCAACATAAAAAGACCAATTCAAAATCCCAAGAAAGGGCATAAACAAAGTTTAAGGCCTCCATGGGCAACCAATGAAACAAAACATAATAAGGAGTAATTTACAAAATAAGAGAGAGGATCAGAGGAACGGGGGGCAGTTCCGGGTGTCCATGTCCTCATGGTTGACAGACTCTGCGGAGACCTTGGGCAAGCCTAGCGCCCCGATCAAAAAATCAGAAACAGTCACGTCCACCAAGGCCTGCTCCACAGCCGGGTGTTCCGCAATGAGCCTCTCATTTCTCTTGAAATGGTATTCTTGCCCGCAGAGAGATCCTCTAGGAGCTGGAGGTTCGCTATTCGCTCCTGCAGGTGAATCTCCACCGTGATCTCCGCCTCCTTCCTCTTGAACTTCTCCTTCACGCTCTCCAGCACTTCCCCGTACTTAGCAGCCATCTCCATACGCTCACCTTTCACTGCGGCAGCCACAGGCTCTTCTTTTGATGCAGCCACTCTACACACGTCCCATTTGAGGAAGTTAACGAGGTCATTGGCCGCCACCAGGTGCATCATGAAGTTGAGCTCTGCCCTCCTGGCCGCTTTAATATGGCGCCGGACCCTCTGCTTGTACTCCATCTTGCGCCTCTCCATGCGTCCCAAGAGTTTGTTCGCGCCCTCTCGAGCTGGGCCATCAGATCATCTACTTCGGCCAGCGAAGGGGCGAGCCGGAAGCGCAGCTCGGTGTCAGAGACTAGGGCGTTGATGGCCCTAATAGTCTAGAAGCAAAGTAAAAAAAAAATAACAAACTAGAATAAACGGCGGGAAGTTCAGAATGAGTCCGGGCAAAAGAAAAAAAGAGAAAAGGAGTAGTTATCTCTTCCCAGGATCGCTTCATCCCGAGCCACCTCTCGTAGAACTCGAGACCAGACTCTTGCGGAGGAGGAAGAAAAGGAGAAGACTGCTCAAGCTGCTCAGGAAGCTGCTCAGACTCCCCTGGAGCCCTTCTTCCCTGAGAATCCCACGCTGCGGAAGTCCTCGCAACCTCCCTTGGGGGATGATACGATCCCTCGGGGCGGGGAGATTCACGAGAAGGGCTCGTGGCTGGAAGAGCCGGTTCCTTGTAAGGTAGCGGGGGAGTCGTAGGTTCGACCGGAGCTGCGACAAGGAGAACCGGCAGAGGAACCTCTCAGACGCTCCCAGAGGATCCGAGCCCCTGGGTGAGGCGCCGCCACCATCCATAGAGGATCCCGTCTCCTTGGAAGAACTTCTCGCCGGATTGAAAAGAATTGTCCGCATCCTCCTGGCTGAAGTCGTGGAATCGCCACTGCCTCTAGGGATGGAAGGCGCGGCCCTATCCACGACTGGTACCCTCCTCCTCCTCTTTAGACGCTCTCCCGACGGGGTGGTCGAAGAAGAGCCAGCGTCATCAGCGGTGGGAGGGATCGCCACAGGAGCTACCCTTTTGGTTGGTAACCCCGAGGTCGGGGCGGAGCTCGAAGGCCCCGTATGGGCGGCCCGCATGCGAGTCTGCTGGCTGATTGAGGGTTCAGCCGCTGGAGGTCTGATGGAAATCCCGAGTAAAGCCACCGCCCGAGCAGGGGCAGCGGCGACCGGGGCACACGCCAGTTCGGCTAGAGCAACTCGTTGCCGGGCGTGCCGGTGATAGGCTATCCTGACCCGAATGGACATGAAGGACTCCCAATCGGTGTTGCCCCTCCGGAACAGCGTTAGCTTGGAGGACGTTGCTACCGTGAGAGAGGCCGAGGAAGTGTTCCCTACGCAAGGAGTGTCAATTAGATCATAAGACATAGACAAGAGAGTCAAAATCTGTCAAAAAAACAACTTTACACTTACTGATGCTGGAACAAAATCAAGTCGGAACCCGGCGAAAGGCGTCCAGTGATGATACCGTCTCCGGTAAGACCCGGAAGAAGAAATTTTTCTTCTGCCAGTTGGTATCCCGGTGGGAGTATTTGTTGGGAAAGACGACGATCCCTCGCCTTTCCCTGGGAGTGAGGTAGAAGGAGCCCTTCACCGAGGAGCTGGCTCTAGCGACATAGAAATCGAAGAACTGGCTGGGGCTGAGGTCCATCTCGTCCTCGTAGGAATGGACATACGTCCCAATGACGTAACAGACAAAGTTTGGGACCATTTGAGGGAAGGCCAGCCCGAGGAACTTGAGTATGTTGAGCAGAAAGAGGGGGATGGGGAAAGTTAGCCCGCAGGTCTGAAAATAGTTGAGGTAGGCACAAGACAAGCCTTCTTCACCCTTTCTGGTGACTCCCACCATGTTGGGAGACAAAATTCGATCGAAGGACGGGCCGCTAGAGCCTCTCGGAGATCGAGGAGGTCCTAAGGTGTGGTCAGAGACGATTCATAGGGGCCGAACTGAAACTCGAAACTAGAGGAAGACATGATTTCGGGTGAGAATTTAGGTACAAAACGATTTTTGCGAAGGGGTGAAAGAGTAGCAGAGTTTCGGAGATGAAGGTAAGGATGAGAATGAGATCGGATATGAAATTAGGGTTAAAACCAGTTTATTTCTGAGAAGAGCAAGCGGTTATTAGTGGTAGGGTCTACGGTAAAAGACTGAATCGACAACGATGATGTCATAAGTACGTGGCGTTTCTTTTGTTGCTGTTCTAATCTTTCACCTTCCTGCGTCCCTAGCCGTTCGATCAGGATCGTACGGTCCAGATGTGTTGTTAAAGTCGCGCTTCAGCGGCGTGCCGTAATGATGAGTAACCGCCCATCAAGTATTATTACTCAGATACTGAATGGGTTGGGTAGTACCTGTTGGGGCTAGATTCGTCACCGAATCCGACCCACCTAAAAGCATAGGTCGAAACTTGTTGTTCGCGATATGTTGACCAGAATCGATGACCTGCGGCCCAAATCCGAAGAGTTAGATGATGTTTGTCTTAAGGCCCAAGCCAGTGCCGAAAGGACCGAGTCAATAGATGCGGGAATAACGAGCTGAGAACGAGATAGAAGCGAGTCAATAGGGCAGTTATCTCAGTCATAGGAGCGAGATTTGCGGGGAATATACCGAGAACGTGTCTGAGATACGCGGAACCGCCCTAGGCACTTGGAGCTGGATCGAAAAGCTGAATGGAGCTATAAATAGATGAAGTCCGAGCAGATTTCGCCAACTTTTCACACACGCGAGAGTTAAACACTACATTTCAGCTTGTAATACATCTCACACGAGATCTCATTGTATATTCGATTCATATCAATATAAATCCAGCTCCAGTCTACTCTTTTTTTAATCGTTGAGCTTATAGATATTTCTTAGGACCAAAGTTTCTTCTTCGAATTCACATACAAATACTCAGTGCGGAATTCAGCTTCCACACATTCCATTATTAGACATTACACTACATATAGATATAATTAATCAGAATACAAACTTTATGATGGAGTAAGCATGCCATTGAGGATAAGGCACGGTGTAGGAACGTAAAACCGGGAAATTGACACGCATTTCCAAATGTATTCAAGTGTATTAATCAAGTTTCATATTTCCTTCTTAACTGCTTAATATGGGATATTATTACATATATATCAACCGAAAGCTTTCACGTGTCTAGAGACTTTCACCGGCTTTTATCTGTTAGTTGCTATGATATTTTTCAAGCATTTCTTTGGTCTGAATATTTTTTTCTTTCAACTTTGAATGTATTTTGGTCTAATGAGAGCGGAAAATGCTTTTTTTTTTTTTACTTTTAAAATTGTGGATATCAAGTGGTTGTCTTCGTGATCAATCTGAGTCTCAATCTCTAGATAGTAAGGAACAATGGTAAGATATCACGGAACACAAAAAGCAATTGAATGTTTACAAAATATCAAAAAAAAGAGTAAATGGTAGATTACGTCGGTTCGATCAATAGTACTGATTCTGTTCTATGAAGAATTTTTTTCCAAAAAAAAAAAGAATGCATGGAGCCGAGAGAGAGTGGTGGATTTTTAGGCGGGAAATCAAAGCTAAAGAACATGCAAGGACTTTGACCAGTCATGTAAAAATGTCAAAGCTTACGAATCTTAGATGATTCTTCGTATATATATAAGATGTAAGGAAGGACCATCTTTTTTTCTATCTTTGGATTCTCCTGTTATTTTGTATTTGACCATTCCCTTTTCGGTGGATTCTCTCTTTATTATTCTACCTCACACTTGATAGCGCAATTGAATGTCATAGGTATTTGTGTCTTTAATCGGTATTATAAAAAATTACCATAAAAAATTGGGTAGGGTAATGTTCATCCAATAATCACAAGTTTAAGAAGAGA